CTTCGACAATGTCTTCTTCAAGGTGAGTTTCCTCTAAGGCTTTTGTCACTTGTTCAACTTTAGGTTCGGCTGCTGGAGACATACTTTTGGTTAATTATGAGAAGGAAAAAAAAAAAAAAAAGTAAACAGAAAAAATAAATTTCTTAAGTGCAAAAAAAATGTGACTGCGCCACCACTAGTTTAAAGTTCACTGATTTTCTCTCTCTCTCTCTCTTCACAGGGAAGAATGGGAACATTCCTTAATTCACATTTAGAGTAAAGAGCGTGGGGAAAAAAGAAACCTTTTTTGAGGGAGGGAGGGGGGGTGACGATAAAACCCCGTATTTTAGGCTGCATATTCCTATAGGTCCCAAGAGACACAAAATATCCCCCGGGATTTCGTAAGACCTTCCCAATAGAGTAAGTGGGGAAGGGGAAGATCTGGTGATTTACTTAAAAAAAAATGGTTTATTATATTTACAGCATAGTTCTAGTATATAGAGAAGGAGGGAAAGCATATATAAAAAAGGAATCTGTGGGTATGATCATAGGTGTAGTGAGCATAAATATAAAAGGGCTGTCTTAAACAGGTTTGGTGGCAGTAAAGATCTTCCATCGAGCAGAGCTTTGAAACTCTTCAAACTCCTCTAGGGCCTCTGAGCACACACGGTCGTATTCTTGTTGTGATACCTTGATTTCAGTACACCACCAACGTTTCATGGATTTAAACAGTGCTCTCATCTGCTCCTTGTAGAGGTAGCCATGCTGCTTCTCCACTATATTACATGTTAGTTTTATCTTCCAATAGATTATACAATTACACTTACAGTCGGTGGAGGGCCACTCTCCAATGGGTATATCGTGCACACGTTCCTGTATATCTGTAAAGCCAGCTTCCTTCATATAACTCGTCAAGTGTTTTGTATAATCGGGATCAACCCCTAATGTTTGAGCGGCTGAGCGATACCACTCATTCACCTGTGTTAAAACCGGACCAGGCGACTTGAATAACAAATCTACAATATGGGGTTAGCGTCCCAGTTTTTAGAGTTTTCTCGCTTATAAAATTACCGTATTCGACCAATTGGATCTGACCTCCAGGTTTTACGATTCTATAAAACTCGCGAATTAAAGTAGGCCAATAAGTAAAAGGCAACACGGTGGCTATATCACGTTGATAGACCAGATCAAAATGATTGTCGGGAAAAGCCAAGGGTTTCTTGACATCACCGTATTGGAATTGAACAAGCTTCTGTTGTCCAGCAGCAGAAGAACCATTGATGTGACTCGACAAATTCCAACCTTCTTTTTCTGATGGCGGTACCACATCAATTCCTATAATTTGACATGTTGGGTAAACGTAGGCCATCTCCAACGACCACAATCCTATTTACACAGTGTTAAAAACGCAAATTCGTGATATA